AGGCCCTGGGGTTAATCTCAATTTCTCAGCATATTCTTTATTTAAATCAATTAATCATATAGATTGGCCGTGTCATGCCCCACACGCAGAAAATAGAGCATGCACCGGATTCGCTAGAGGAGGAGGGAGGGGGGGGGGGTGCAGTTGCGGATTTTGCCTGTAACATTTTGGCTCATGATGATATTCAGTATCCCCCCGACCCAACCCCTTTTTTCGTTCTTCTGTTTTATTTATACCATTTTTTATGAATATTTGAACTGATATTCTGATTCATCATCTTCTCTTTAAAAATTATTTATTTTGAGATGTGACCGGTTTCTGCGGAGAAAAAAATGAAAATAAAATAGTTGAGAGCTGGGAAATATCATAATGAGATGCTGAAAGATTGTTATTTGCCTTTTGTGTACTCTTTTATTTCTAACCGCCATAATATTTCTAACCGCCATAATATTTCTAACCGCCATAATATTTATTTTCTTTCTAACTTGTGTCTTGCTTGTTGGGGCTCAGTAAAATTTCGTCTAGTACACTTTCGTTTAATAACATTTGGTCTAGTAACATTTGGTCAAAGTAACATTTGGTCTAAGTAACATTTGGTCTAAGTAACCTTTGGTCTAAGTAACATTTGGTCTAAGTAATATTTGGTCCAAGTAACATTTCGTCTAAGTAACATTTGGTAAGTAAATTGGTCTAAATTGGTTTAAGTAACTTTAAGAAAGGAGTAAGTAACATTTTGTCCAAGTAACTTTTGGTATAAGTAATTTTTGGTAAGGAATTTTGTCTAAAACTAAAAACTGGTATCTAATTAATCCCGCCATTGAGTTCCTCTCAGTTCAACGTGTTTTAGAAGAGTGGAGAATTTCTCCTATACGAACTGCGGATTTCTTGATTTTGTTTCACGGGTTTTCTCCTTTTTTTGCAGTGTATATATAAAATCACTTAACATTTTTTTCAGACCAAATTACTTACTAAAAGTTACTTAGACCAAAAGTTACTTAGACCAAATGTTACTTAGACCAAAGGTAACTAGACAAAAATGAACTAGACGAAAATGAAATAGACAAAAATGAACTTAGACGAAATGTTACTGACCCCTTGTTGGCATTTTTGGCTGTATTTTACCAGATTGAACTGGTGGGGGAATCAGCACCTCTCGGATGTCGGTCTGGGGATCTCACGTTGGGGGTCTTTCATGATTATTTTTCTAATACTAATACTAATTTTACAACCAAAAAAGCAGTTGTGTAGATCTTAAGTACAAAAAATACCAGTGTAAATGAAAATTTTGAAATATATTTTCAGTCCCTTGACATTAAAAGCTATTCTTTTTATTGCATCCTAAAAAAGGGCATGTGCGTCGTAAAACGAAAATAATGGTGACATTTTTTCAGATTCAAATTTGCATTTTGTGTTGACGAGTAAAAAATGTTTATTTGCACAGTCTGGTTGATTGCAGATTTATTTCTCTAATCAGATGTGCAAACTTGCTGTTTCTAAAACTGAGCATGTGTTTGGTTCAATAGATCAGATATCCTAAAATATAGAAGGTTAGGAAGGGGTTAACAGAGTTTGGATGGTTAAAGGGACTGTAAGCGTAATTTCAAGTGACATTTTGTGGAATAATTGCAATGCCCGATTCACAACGGTACGGTACCCTCAAAAGCATTGTCTGACTCAATGTTTATTATTCTGAAACTAAAAATTTTCGCCTGTGGAAACCTATGGAAATTATAAGAAGTAAACATTTTTAAACCTAGAAAAACGACAATATCTTCCACATTGATGATCAGATAACTAGGTTACAGAATACAAACGTACTGCTTCGAATCAGACATTACCATCTTTGCATGGAGGGTCACTTAAAATTACGATTATACAATCCCATTAAAGAGACTCTCTGCAGTTCTATGCCCGATTTACAACAATATCCCAAAACATTGATTAAAGTAACATGGAGAAGATAATATCGTTTTTAAGGGAGGCTAGGGAAAGTGTAGGAATGTTTAGGAAGGTTTTGGAAGGTTTTGGAAGATTTATGAAGGTTTATAAAGGTTGTTGAAGGTTTATGAAGGTTTTTGGAGGTTTATGAAGGTTTATAAATGTTTTAAAAGGTTTAGGGTTTAACAAGGTTTTGAAGGTTAATAAAGGTTTTGTAGATTTCGGAAGGTTTATGAAGGTTTATGAAAGTTTAGAAGGTTTAAGAAGGTTTAAGAAGGTTTAAGAAGGTCTATAAAGATTGTGTAGATTTTTGAAGGTTTATGAAGGTTTATAAGGGCTGATAAAGGTTTAGGAAGGTTTAAGAAGGATTATGAAGGTTCAGGAAGGTACAGGAAGGTTTAGGAAGGTTTATGAAGGTTTAGGAAGGTTTAGGAAGGTTCAGGAAGGTTCAGGAAGGTTTAAGAAGGTTTAGAATCGGTTAAGGAAAGTTTAAGAAGTTGTAGGAATATTTCCAATGTTTGATAGAATATTGAAAGTGGAAGGTTGTATCATATATGTATACTTATAGTAAAGTAAAGAATATTTGAAAAGGTTTGAAAATGTTTGAAAATGTCAAGAAAGGTTAAAACAAAGTTATTCGTTTGTTTTGGACATAGTTTAAAAAATCAACAGAAAGGACAGTAGATGTCGTCTTTTCAAGATTTATAAGTATTTCGTTCACAGTAACCCTGAGGCGGAAGCCCAAAGTAGTCGGCGTAGAACAGGCTCAGTCTCTGTCCTATAATGCTACAGAGAGAGAGAGAGCCTGTTCTACGCCGACTACGCGTAACTCCTTATGAATCTTGAATAGACGACATCTAGTGTTCGATTTGTTATTTTAATTAATCTATGGTTTTGGGACTAAATGTCAAAGTGAATAAATACTAAAGTGGAACAGACTAAGGAAACGACGACAGGTTGGGCCATAAGGTTTTATTTGGTTTGGAAATAATTTCATATTTCTAAATACTTGAGACATAAAATGTCGTCATCCACCTATGAGTTTGGTCCACTTTAGTATTTATTCACTTTGACTAAATGTACGTGTTTGACAAGTGTTTATATTGTTTAGGGAAGTTAAAGTCATTAACACAAGTTCTCACTGCAAAGAGTTAAACTTACATTGTTTCTTGCTTGGGGAGGGGGGGGGGGGGTCACAACCCCAAAATATCTGTGTATTTACGATTGTTACATTGTATGTATGATATATATGTATAAGAGCTCGATTTTATGTATATAAACTGACCTAAACATGACACCTGTGCATATATTGGCGCATTAACTCAGTTTTTATTCACCCCTCCCACCCATTCCCTTCCTAAGGCATTTTCTAAATCTTAAACCAAACATTTTAAAATGAATTCATACTCTGCAGTTTAAAAATCAAATTGGATCCAAATTGCAGTAATTAAATTCAAATATAAAAAATTCAGATTAAACATTTCAGGATTAAAGACCATGGATACTGGCCAATGTGAACCAAATTCTATTTAAATTCCTAAAAATGCTCGGGGAGTTCAAATAAACTATAACTCAATAAACTATAAATAAATACTCGATGCAATAAGGTCTGATTCCTCATCATATTTATATTATTCATCCTTAATTTTGATATCCTTGAGTTTATATACTTTGCCGGAGTAACAACTATGTACAGTTCATTGTGCACGTTCTGTTTGAACAAGAGACCTAGCGTACATTTGTACTCCCTGTCTTCTGTAAATTCTAAATTTTATCGTGAAAACTAAAGTTCCAAACTCAAACAGAGAAAGTTTCAAGCGAAGTGATGCAATAATATTATTCGTTTTAATACTAATAAAAAGTTACAGCATACTGAGATGTAATTGGGTTCTTTGGAGTGCAGAAGGATGCACGAGAGGGCTCTGTCCTAGTATACGATTTTTGGACCCCCCCCGGGGCCCCCCCTCCCCCCCTCCTATCAATTTTGTACATGACCATTTATTTTTCAGCAAATTTATTATTATTTATTTTTTCGTTATTTAGGGTTAGGTTAGGTTAAGACAATTTCTGGGCCGAGCGCTGCGGCTAGGATGGGAAAAAATCGTTTTTAAGGAAATTACATCAGGCTTCTTAATGCCTAAATTATGACAATCTTACATTTAAGTTTGCGGATTTTCTTAAAATGTGAATCTGAAGCACAAGGATTCACAAATCTTTGTTTATCAGTTTTTGAACTAATCAGGACCAGTTAAGGCCAAACAAATTAAAAAAGATTTTTTAAGTCTGAGAAAAGTCTAATTTAAAACTTAAATATCACCAAATCAATTACATTTTGGGGTTTCAGGCCCAGTTAGGGGGGCTGCAAAAAAAATATCTAAAACCCCCACCCCCTTGGACAAATTGCTGTATTTAACGCCTCTGCATCTGTGCAATGTATTAACGTATTCCTGTAATCCTGTACCCTTTATCTCTGTATTTCTAGGTATTTCTGTATTCCTGTATCCTAGTGACCCTGTAATCCTATACCCTTTATCTCTGTATTTCTAGGTATTTCTGTATTCCTGTATCCTAGTGACCCTGTAATCCTATACCCTTTATCTCTGTATCCCTAGGTATCTCTGTATTCCTGTATCCTAGTGACCCTGTAATCCTGTACCCTTTATCTCTGTATCCCTAGGTATCTCTGTATTCCTGTATCCCTGTATCCCAGTAACCCTGTTTTTTTTCTATTTCGATGTATCCCTGTATTTCTGTATACCTGTATCTCTGAACCCCTGTTTCCCTGTATACGCATATCTCTGTATCCATGTTTACCTGTATCCCTGTATATTTGGATACTTGGATACCTGTATACCTATATTCCTGTATCCCTGTATATTTGGATACTTGGATACCTGTATACCTGTATTCCTGTATCCCTGTATATCTGTATACCCGTATACCTGTATACCTGTATACCAGTATACCTGTATACCTGTAATCATATACTTCCCTGTTTCGCATGTATCCCTGTATCAAATGTAAAACATATGAAATTAAAATATTTATTAATTTTCAGAATTTTCCTGAGATAAGGTTTTTACTGTTCATAGCTTATCTTGCAATTTAAAGTAATGCTTCAAGATCAAGTGTTCAGTTTTCAATTAATTTCTCAAGAAATTAGATGAAAGTGACAAAGTGAAATAATAAAAGAAAATGGGAGAAATTGCTGCAAGTTTTCTCCATACGGGGGATATCATTTCCCTGTATGCAGAGGGAAATGTTTCGGGATTTCTTTCCACATTAGGGTAAGCGATTTTTTTATGATGTCAAATATTCCCCCCAATTTAGATTGGTTTATGACCATTATATTTTTTACATTAGGAGATGACCGTTTTATTATTTAGATTGGTTTATGACCATTATATTTTTTACATTAGAAGATGACCGTTTTATTATTTAGATTGGTTGATGACCGTTGTGTTGTTTGCCCGGAGGCCGGTGACCTCGCAAATGTTCCAAAAAAGTTTCGCGACTGTCTTTTCAGGTAAATACGTTTTAAGAGCTGTTGCCAATTATAAAAGGATATTGTTTTAAATATCATTGCCTGACTTTGAATGACCGGTTTCTGTTTAGGATTTGCCCGATGAACAGGTACGCGTCTCAGAAACAGTTCTGGGACGCGGCAAAGAAGAGCACGGACCGGACCGACCCCGTCCTTCTTAGACGTCTTCATGTACGTACATTGTCAAGTTCATTTTTATTTTGAAAATTTTAAATATTTAAATATTATGAGCTATTAACTTTATACGAATGCGTCGAAAAATTATCGATGATTAATGGTTGTAATATTTGAATGATTTGTTTGGAATTAAACTGATTTTTTTGCGATCCAAGTCGTATATTGCAAGTTTCTGAATTTGTATGGACGCTACGTTCTTTAGTATGAGTAGTTTTTAATAAATTTCTTCTCATAGACGCAACAGATAGAAGTAAGATTATTATCATTTACCATCGATAATTTTTCGACGTAAGCCTATTATATATATTATATATTTGGAGACTCTCATTAAACAGTACTGTGTGTTTTGGATTATGTTCTTTGATCAGAAACTTTGCGGAAACTTGAAAAGGCCCAAAGTATCGGACATTTAAAAAAACTACCGATTGTTGTCAACCCAGTTTTATTAATGGGACACTCTGTAGTTGGGATATCCGTCTTTACGTATGTAAAATCAAATCAAATAATATTTTTTTTCTGTATTAAACATTAAAATAAATTAAACAATAAGTGAAATAATTTTGAAATAATTTTGAAAATGGTCAGGGTAAAGTTGGAGTCTATTATGATCAAATCCGCGAGTCAAAGATATTTCGTTGCTTTGTTATTCTGTCTATAGATCAATTAAATCAATCGGCTGCTGATCAATCAATTGATTCATGTCCTCTTGGTGAATATAAAAAATGAATAAATTTCTCCGCTTATTAAACCACCTGGGGCCTAGATTTAACAGTACTTACGACGAGAGCCGAGGAAGGGGGGGGCTTTGTGAAGGGTTAGTGAGGGTATATTGATGTATGTAAACAAATTATTAAGATAATATAAAGATGGGGGGGGGGGCAGTTAAGAGGAAATGGAAAGAGAAGTAACACGTATGGAAAAATATGAAAGGAAAATGGAAGGAAAATTGACGGAAAATGGAAAGTTAATGAAAGGAAATTATAGGAAATTAAAAGCAAAATGAAAGGAAAATGAAGGGAAAATGAAGGGAAAATGAAGGGAAAATGAAGGGAAAATGAAAGGAACATGAAAGAAAACATGAAAGGAACATGAAAGGAACATGAAAGGAACATGAAAGGAACATGAAAGGAACATGAAAGGAACATGAAAGGAACATGAAAGGAACATTAAAGGAACATTAAAGGAACATGAAAGGAACAAGAAAGGAACATGAACGGAACATGAAAGGAACATGAAAGGAACATGAAAGGAACATGAAAGGAACATGAAAGGAACATGAAAGGAACATGAAAGGAACATGAAAGGAACATTAAAGGAACATTAAAGGAACATGAAAGGAACAAGAAAGGAACATGAACGGAACATGAACGGAACATGAAAGGAACATGAAAGGAACATGAAAGGAACATGAAAGGAACATGAAAGGAACATGAAAGGAACTTGAAAGGAACATGAAAGAAACACGAAAGGAACATGAAAGGAATATTAACGAAACATGAAAGGAAAAGGAAAGGAAAAGAATAAGGAAAGAATAAGGAAAGAATAAGGAAAGAATAAGAAAAGAATAAGAAAAGAATAAGGAAAGAATAAGGAAAGAATAAGGAAAGAAAGGAGAGAATAAGGAGAGAATAAGGAGAGAATAAGGAGAGAATAAGGAAAGAATAAGGAAAGAATAAGTAAAGGAAAAGGAAAGGAAATGGGAAATGGAAAAAAATTGAAAAGAAAAATGGAGAAATGTTGAAGAATTATAGAAGAAAAAGTGTACGAAAATAAATAAATAAAGGAGGAAGGAAGAAATAAATTATATGTGTTCATTTCTATTCTTTCCCCGTAATTAAATATTTAATTTTGTTTTTGTTTGCTTATATAGTCTCCAGGACACATTTAAACCTTTGAAGATAGAACTTTGAAGATTTATTTCTCAATGATAATTATTTACAGCAGTTCATTCGAGTTTTTTAATTTAATAGTTTGACCAATTCTTCAGAGCCCAGAGGCAGAGCTGGGGTTTTTTGAAAAAGGGGCGGGGGGATTTCTGTTAAATTATTAATAACTAGTTTGAGAACCCAGCTTGGCCGGGAAATTAAACTTTCTTCAATAAAACAAACCCACTAAAGTTAAAATAGTGTCCCATTCAAAATTTGAAGCAGCAAAGAGGGAAGGGGGTTCCTAAGTTATGATCAGACATACAAACAATTAATATTAAGATTTTTTTACTGAGAAAAATAAAGAAATTTTCCCTGTCTCAAACTTTTTAGATAAAAAAAATTCAAATAATATTTTCTTCTGTTTTCTAGCATGCTGCAGAGGTGGAGAAGAAACAGAATGAATCAGAAAACAAAAAATGTCTCGGATCTGTTATCCAGGTATTCTATTGAGTTTGTTTATTGTCCTTCCAGAACTACTGCAGTACACTTTTTTGTAAACAAAGTTGTTACTGAATGAAAGGTAGTTTCTGAAATGCATTTATCCAATTCCGACTTGTTAAAATATTTTAGATAAAGAAATATAGCAAAATCTTGCACGTTGTTTCCAACTGTTAACGTATAAATTGGAGTACGCTGAACTACGGTGGAATTCTTTTGGGAATAGGCTGACAATGAAATACTCTCCTAAGGCCCAGAGTCCGAATTTAATGAATTTGAGCCACGTCTCAAATCCGCCAAAAACCGGCTTTAATTGAACGCCGCCTTAAATCTGAAACATTGAATACAATTTTGAGTGAAACCAAATATTTTTGAGCCGCGGCTCAAATTCTTTAAATTCGGTCTCAGAGCAATAAAGAATTATGATTTTCTATTATGTGAAAACTTAAGTAATGTTTTTTACTGGCATTCGGAAAATTAGTTTATGAATATTTAGTTTTTTTCGATATTTTTTTTACAGTATTAAGAAAATAAATTCAAGTTAGTGGTACATAATTTGTTGTTTCATTATGGTATCTTAATTCATTTAGTCTTAGAATAAAAGGGACTGTATGCGTAGTTACAAGTGACCTCCATTCAAAGATGGCAGTGTCCTTGTACAACAGTACCATTGAAATCTTTATCTGATCAACAATGTGGAAGATATTGTCGTTTTCATAGGTTTCTGGGGTTTTAGTTTGGAACATTCCTATTTTTTTCTGTAGTAGAAATGCGCAAATAACATTTGTAGAGAAACCACATTTGTAAATAATCAGTTTTCCAAATTATAAAGATTCATATCTAATTCATTCTTTAATGTCAGACAATTGATTTTTTGTAGTAAACAGTGATTTGATTTCAGTATTAAATCGAAATTCGGAAGTGTTTAAAGGTTTGTCAAATAAATTATTTGTGGTAAAAATGTTATGTTTTCAGTATGGAAACGTGATACAGCTTCTTCACTTGAAATCCAACAAATATCTGACGGTTAATAAACGTTTACCTGCTTTACTAGGTAATAATATACAGGGAGGGGACAGTTTTTTAATAAAGGCTCCCACGAGTAACATAATTTCTAGTTACCTTCCTTACTCTTAATTTCGAAATAAAAAAATCCCTTATACTCAACAACAAAAATTGCTATTTTGTCGCTTTTTTTGGCAATTAGCGATTTTTTATCTTGAAAAAATTAGAGTGTATATGAAAAAGTCTTTGATGCAAGTTGATGTCATAAACCGTAGTCTTTAAACCGTTTTCTGTTTGTCAGTCAGTAAGTTATTGTGGTTTTTCTTGAAAAGAGTTTATTTTTTTCGAATTCCTTCCTTTTTCTCTTTTGCATGAATCACTTGAGAGAACACAATTGAAAATAATCAATTTTCAGCTAGAAAAACCAGTTTGCTCAGCACCATTTGAACTGAGGGGCATGTTTAAAGATGTTTTTATAATGTTTAGAGAAATTATATCAACAGTCCGTTTAAAGATGTTTTTATAAAGTTTAGAGAAATTATATCAACAGTCTGTTTAAAGATGTTTTTATAATGTTGAGAGAAATTATATCAACAGTCAGTTTAAAGATGTTTTTATAATGTTTAGCGAAATTATATCAACAGTTCGTTTAAAGATGTTTTTATAATGTTTAGCGAAATTATATCAACAGTTAGTTTAAAGATGTTTTTACAATGTTTAGCGAAATTATATCAACAGTCAGTTTAAAGATGTTTTTATAATGTTTAGAGAAGAATGCTATGAGGGTATATCTAGACCCAGCTGGGAATGAAGGATCATGGTTTTATATTTTCCCTTTCTACAAGGAATTCATTCATTCAATTTTTCAAATAAAAAGATAAGAAATGAAATATTGATCAGGGATACACGTGTACAGTTTAGGTTAAACAAATTAATGTTTAATTCTAAACAAAGTATCGACAATATTTGCCTGCCAAGTGAATTCGAAGTTCATTCTGGGTTTAATAATTTTATTTTTTAGTCTGTCCAATGTCCATCTATCTTTCTAACTATCTCTCTATCTTTCTGACTAACTATCTATCTTTCTAACTATCTCTCTATCTTTCTAACTAACTATCTATCTTTCTAACTAACTCTCTATCTTTCTAATTATCTATCTATCTTTCTAACTAACTATCTATCTTTCTAACTAACTATCTATCTTTCTAACTATCCATCTATCTTTCTAACTATCTTTCTATCTTTCTAACTAACTGTCTATCTTTCTAACTATCTCTCTATCTTTCTAACTAACTATCTATCTTTCTAACTATCTCTCTATCTTTCTAATTATCTATCTATCTTTCTAACTATCTCTCTATCTTTCTAACTATCTCTCTATCTTTCTAACTATCTCTCTATCTTTCTAATTATCTATCTATCTTTCTAACTAACTATCTATCTTTCTAACTATCTTTCAATCTTTCTAACTAACTATCTATCTTTCTAACTATCTCTCTATCTTTCTAACTAACTATCTATCTTTCTAATTATCTCTCTATCTTTCTAATTATCTATCTATCTTTCTAACTATCTCTATCTTTCTAACTATCTTTCTATCTTTCTAATTATCTATCAATCTTTCTAACTAACTATCTATCTTTCTTACTATCTCTCTATCTTTCTATTAAACTACCTATCTTTCTTACTAACTATCTATCTTTCTAACTATCTATCTGTCCTAGCGTATGCTATTGCTGTCATGATAAATGATAAAGTTTAGTTATATTGCGCCAATATATCATGGGTTTAAACAATAACACAGATATGGGGATAGGTTGGAAAAGGAGGGTAGTTGTTCATTGAAATTGAGAAATAAATTCTATACTAATGGGGAGGAATGATTACAGGTATATGTTGCCTTAAAGGATTTCATCACGAAGTTTAAACTACAAGGCTTTTAGGGCGCTTCGCTCCCATCTTCTATATTTCAACTTTTAATTGTTGCTCTATCTATGAACATCTTCTCTTTGTACAATACAAAACAAGATCAAAAAATATTCGCAGATTTAATGAAATTAGTTTTTCGTGGATTTTCAAAAGTTTACAATAATCAAAATGTTATGGAGACAACTTTTTTAAATTCTGAGAATATAAGTGTATATATAGATTAGTAAGAACAAACTGAAAAGTTTTTTTTTTGGGGGGGGGGATTTTGAAATATCAATTTTGGAAGGTATGTGTGTAATTTTCAAAGATACCCCTGGAAAAACGTTTCTTTAAACAATAAAATTCATCAAGGTCATTTTTTCTGGTTTGATTCTCGATGTTTTTGTGCCTGACAGGTGACAGGTTAATATCTCTCTGTTAATGAGTTAATGCCAAAATAGGAAGTAGGACAACAGTATAACATATAACCTTACTAAGATTTAGTGTCTATGTTTGTATTTTGTAAGAAGAAAAAGAGAATACATGAAGACAGAAAGATAAATGAAAATGATCTAAATGATAATAATTTAAGTGATAATGATCTAAATGATAATAATTTAAGTGATAATGATGTAAATGATAATGATGTAAATGATAATGATTTAAATGATAATGATTTGAATGATAATGATTTAAATGATAATGATTTAAATAATAATGACTCAAATGTTAATAAAAAATTTAATGAATTATTGAATGAATGAATAAATGATCAGCTGAGATCGAACGGAGACAGTGTCGTTGTTGGAGATCGAGTTATTTTGACTCCTGTCAATGCCGGACAACAGGTACAGTACGATACAGTACAGTAAAGTGCAGTACAGTACAGTACACTTCAGTAAAGTACAGTGTAGTACAGTACAGTACAGTACAGTACAGTTTTGGTAGGCTTTCGCTCTAACTAATCAAATTTTCAAACATTTTTAAGATGGTTTTCAAATTTAAATTCAACAGTTAAAAAACATGTAAAACATAAAATTTTCTCATAAAAATATTTTTTCTAAATAATTTTTAGATTTAGTTTGTTGGTCTACACTACAGTAAAGTAATTAAAGAAATTTGAATTCCAATAAAAGAATCACTTTTTTTCTAATTCAGGTTTTACACGTTGGAGCTAACTATGAGTTGTTGGACAACCCCGGATGTAAAGAGGTAATGACAAAATTTGTAAACAAAAGTTTGAAGACTGACTGAATTTCTTGTTCCTTTATATTCTTGCTGAGTCCGAATTTTAAGAATTTGAGTGGCGGCTTAAATTTAAGCCGCTGCTCAAATATGGTTGGTTCCACTTAAATGTGTATACAATGTTCAAGATTTAAGCCGGCGCTCAATTGAAACCGGCGGAAATTGACGGATTTAAGACGCGGCTCAAATTCATTAAATTCGGACTCTGATCTCTTATATTTTTTGATTTCTTGATTCCTTAAGTTTTCTTGATCTTTTTCTTCTTGATTTTTGATTTCATAACTTCAAAATTATTTGACTTTTTTATATTTTGCTTTTAAGTTGGTTTGGTTTCTTCCCTTTGTTAAGTTAGTGATTATTTTTCCACTAGATTTCTTTATTCTTTCTTGATCTTTTTATGTCTTAATCATTTGCTTATCTTTTAGATTTCTTTTAGATATCTTCTTGAATTCTTGATTGTTTGCTGTATTTAATTTTTCTTGATTTCTTGAGTCCATTTTTCATAATCTGCAGAGGCCGAATTTAAAGAATTTGAGCCGCGGCTTAAATGTGGTTGGTTCCACTTAAATGTGTATTCAATGTTTCAAGATTTAAGCCGGCACTCAATTGAAACCGGTTTTTGGCGGATTTGAGACGGCGATCAAATTCATTAAATTCGGACTCTTGATGTTTATTTATGTTTGTTTGTTGTTTTCTGGTACTTGGCAGTGTTTGTTCTTAATGTTTGCTTATCCTAGTGTTTATTTGTTTGTTTCGTTTTAACTTTTATATGTTTGTTGACTTGCAAAGCGTCTTATCCTTATCATGTCTCCTAACTGTCTCCTGGTCTATAGATAATGGGAATTGACAAGAATCAAAGCTGTACAATGGTAAAAATAGAAATGGTCAAGAAAACTTAATTTTTCACTAAGTATGTTTTTGATTGCAGTATGAGGAAGAAAATAAACCTCTCTTCACACTTTTCTCCACCTCTTTTTGTTTTTTCCCCCCATTTTTTGTTTTTCTCCGCCCTTTTTTTGTTTTTTCCCCCCATTTTTTGTTTTTCTCCGCCCTTTTTTTGTTTTTTCCCCCCATTTTTTGTTTTTTCCCCCCATTTTTTGTTTTTCTCCACCCTTTTTTGTTTTTTCCCCCCATTTTTTGTTTTTTCCCCCCATTTTTTTGTTTTTTCTTCCCATTTTTTGTTTTTCTCCACCCTTTTTTGTTTTTTCCCCCCATTTTTTGTTTTTTCCCCCATTTTTTTTCTCTCATACCAACAACTTCCACTTTCCAATATTTTCTTTCTAATGCTTATATTCATCTTTAGTTTCCCTAAACTTTCTCTAACTATTTTTTTAAACTTACGAATTAACTTAACTTAATTCAGAATGGTAATGTGGGGGGGGGGAGTTGCAGAAGGTTTAACGTTTCTTAAGATTTAAATTTTATGAAATGTGCAAATTTTAAGCCTGGTTGCGCATGAAGTTATTTATAAAGTTTATGGAAATATGTATTATATATATATATATATATATATAGATATTATATATTTGCGGCTTCATGTTTGCATATTTAATCATAAATCTCTTCCTCTGTAAATCTAGTACTTTTCCAACACCAGGGTGATATCTTTTCCAACACCAGGGCGATAACTTTCCCAACACCAGGGCGATAACTTTTCCAACACCAGGGCAATAACTTTTCCAACACCAGGGCGATAACTTTTCCAACACCAGGGCGATAACTTTTCCAACACCAGGGTGATAACATTGTACAGCAGATTGTTCAGCGTGCCCTGTATAGTTAACATTGTACAGCAGATTGTTAACTGTGCCCTGTATAGTTAACATTGTACAGCAGATTGTTCACTGTGCCCTGTATAGTTAACATTGTACAGCAGATTGTTCACTGTGCCCTGTATAGTTAACATTGTACAGCAGATTGTTCACTGTGCCCTGTATAGTTAAAATTGTACAGCAGATTGTTCACTGTACCCTGTACAGTTAACATTGTTCAGCAGATTTTTCAGTGTGCCGTGTATAGTTAACACTATACAGCAGATTGTTCACTGTGCCGTGCATAGTTTACATTGTACAGCAGATTGTTCACTGTGTCCTGTACAATTGCATTTTGCAGTTTGCTTCATGCTTGTATTTGCACATTTCACGAGCATCCAACTTTTTATTCATTTTTTTAAGTTAATATTTTGGTATATTTCTGCTGTAAGCTACAAGAAAATGTATGGAAGTTTTCAATGGTTCAAAAATATTTTTTATGACCTGCAAACTTCATAGTAATCTTGAATTAGGAAATAATAATTTTTGTAAAAAGATAGACTCGAAAGCTTGAATTTAACTTTTGTCTGCTAAATCTTCATTACTAAGCAATAATAATAAAAAATTTATAAAATTAAATTATGAATTATGTAAAACTTTGTAGATTTTTGTGAAGCTTTGTGAAAACCTTGAAAATGACGAATCGACGAAAAAAATGGTAGATAATTGTTTGAACTACTGCTGTTTGAACTATTGATCGTTTAAACTATTGGTCGTTTAAACTATTGTTCATTTGAAATACTGACATGACGTCATATCCTGTAGTTCAAATTAACACAATATTTGCTCATTTAAACTATTTTCTTTGAACGTATTAGTAGTTTTATAATTTTGACATTGGCATGAGCATCAAAGTCTATTTCAAATAAACATAAAAATAGTTCAAATTGAATAGTTCAAAAGAACAACAATTTTTCCCCAACTCTAGTTGTTGTTGACGTAGTTAAATTAATCTTTGTTGTTTAGGTGAATGTTGTGAATGCGCAGACTTGTTGGAAGATTTCTCTGTTCCTCGAGCACCAGGAGAACGTGGAGGATATTCTCAAGGAATGCCGCACACAATTATTAAATTGTCAATCACGCACAACCAATCAATCAATCAATCGTGATAATTAAAGATCTGGATAGTTTTGCACTAAAAGTTAAAAAAGTAAATGCAAATGAATTTAGATCAAAAGAACCTTTACAAATTCTCTCTAGTCCTCTCAATATCTAACAAAAGGGTTACCCACTAAGGATAAGTCTTCATGGACGACTGTACTGAATTAATCTAGATCTTAACCATACAATATTCGTTCTCTGCAAGTGGAAACTGGTTCTTTTCCTAATCAAATCATTTCTTAGATCTAAATAAACTTAGACTTTGTGGGCAATGCTGAAGGAATCGTTCATATATACATATTTATATTTTTTTAGAATTGAAATTTAATAAATGTGGTGGATGAGTAGGGTGGAGATGTTGTTCGTCTTTTCCACGCCGAGCAGGAGAAGTTCCTGACGATGGACGAGTACAAGAGAAGACAGGCTGTGTTCCTGAGGTTAACTGCTAGAACATCGGCAACTGCCGCTACTAGTAGTAAGGTAAACTGTTCAGTTTTCACAGATGGAGTTAGTTGTCACATTTTCTTCATCCGACATTCGCCAGTTACAAAATAGTGGCACAAATGGCATCAACATTTTAATTTTTAATTTTTTGGAGCCTAATTTATTGCTCAATCCTGCATAGTAACGGGGACCAGAATTAGAGTTGTGTATTGGTAGTGTCTAATTTTTAAATGGCTGTTTCTTTGGCAAACTCTTAAATTTTTACATAAGAGTATTAAGTCGCCAGGAGCAACAAAGTCGGAGTGCTGTGCCTACTGTCTTGGGTCAACAGGACAGAGAGACAAATCTATGTCACTTAGGGTTTTTAAATCCCTATATCTTTGCAACCCAATTTCATAGACCTTGGATATTTCAAATTATGAGTTCTGTTTAAGTGTTAGTTTACACCGTATTCTCTAAACTGTACACTGTTTTCACTATAAACTGTTCACTGTACTTATGTAAACTGTACACTGTACAGGCGTTGTGGGAGGTTGAAGTTGTACAGCATGACCCCTGTAGAGGCGGTGCAGGGCATTGGAACTCAATGTTTAGGTAAAATATTATGTTATAATTAATCTAATTCTGCAATCAACCAATTTTTATTTAAAGGGAGGGACCGGCTAGACATGGTAGTTGAGCTAAAGTGCAGTATTGTAGAGAAAAACTTGAAGATTCATTTGATACCAAGGCGATGTTTTTACAGTGTTAAGAGCTTAAAGTCGTTAGTAATATTTCATCTGTTATTTTAGTAAGCAGAAGAAAATTTTTCTTTATAATTCTTAAATAATATGAATAAAACATGCAATGCAACAAATACTTTTCTACAAACTAGTTGCATGTATACAAACAGGTTAAGAAAAATAATGAATTTTTACCATTAAATATAAGTTATTAAATTCATCTTAAAATCTCGCAGGTTTAGGCAAATTCTTTCAGCTAGGGTTGCTAGTTGGAGGTTTTCCTTGTTTTGATTGTGAAGAAGACATTTTGAAGAAATCTGCGAATAAAATTATAGAAACAGCAAAAGTAATGATGATGATGAAATAATTAATTCTACGGTTCTACTATGACTTTCATCAATAATTTCTTTTAAGAAATATGTTCCTAAATAGCAAATTAGTCTCTATAATATATTTTTTACTTTACATATTTTGTCCTAGTTATTAAATCATTGTAAAAAAAGTTTCTTCTGCTGACTAAAACAACTGGTGAAATATTACAAACGACTTTAAGTTCTTATTTAAAACTTGTACACCGTAAACATGTTTCATTGGTATCAAATGAATCTTAAAGTTTTCTCTAAAATACTGCACTTTCAACTCAACTACAGGGTGTCCCACGAAACGTGACAGTTTGTGAATAGTTTTAAATGTCTTCTTCCGTAAACTGTATTAGATAATATAGACTTTTTGTAGTTTATTCTGTTTAAAAAATCTTTTACTAAAATATAATTTACTTTTAAATCAAATTTATTATAATATGGCTGGACTGAAAATTTTTATATTATTCTCTTGGGGTTCAAACTATGTAAGAAGACATTTTAAACTTTTCACCAATCGTCATGTTTCGTGGGACACCCTGTACAATGTCTTTTTGGTCTTTCCCTCTAAGTAAATCTAAAATAGGGTTCAAAGAAAGATATTACAAACAGTTATTTGGATTTATATGTATTTGATGTTTCCATAAAAACCGTCTACCACAAACCACAAAACCTGTTTCTCTTTTTACTGTACTGTCTACAATAGTGCTTGTCCATTCGATTTTTTGGCACTATCTAGTAAACAGTCGTATTTAATATATTTGGGTTAAACACCTGGCTACGGGGCACTATCTAGTATATATAGCCCTATTTAATATATTAGGTTTAAACACCTGGCTACGGGGCACTATCCCAGCAAACAAAAACTCGAGTTAAAATCGAGTAAAACTCGACTTTTGCCTTCCAGAAGTGGAGTTTTAATCGAGTTTAGAAGTGGAGTTTTAATCGGCTATAGTCGTGCCATACAAGGATGAAAACTCGACTTTTCACCAAGATGATTTCTGGATGATTTCTGGATGATTTCTGGATGATATCTGGATGATATCTGGATGATGCAAAGTGGAGTTTTAATCGAGTTTAATACAGTGGAGTTTTAATCGAGTGTAAAAGTGGAGTTTTAATCGACTTTAGAAGTGGAGTTTTAATCGAGTTTAAAAGTGGAGTTTTAATCGAGTTTAAAAGTGGAGTTTTAATCGAGTTTAAAAGTGGAGTTTTAATCGAGTTTAAAAGTGGAGTTTTAATCGGCTATAGTCGTGCCATACAAGGATTAAAACTCGACTTTTCACCAAGATGATTTCTGGATGATGAAAAGTG